CCGCCAGGCCGGTTTTCATGGATTCACGAGTCGTAAGTTTAAGGATTCTGTCATTTTCCATAGAATCTTGTAGTATTGTAAGCAAAATTACAGCTGTTCACAAATCAAAAATTTAAATAGTTATAAAACTGATAGATTTATGTATTTTTCTATTGGGTCTCCCCTGGCGGAAAAATTTCTATAAATAACTACAAAAAAAATGACTTGAAATAGAAATTTGTAGAAATTTTAGGTGGGGGGTTTTAGGTGGGGGGTTGGGACCCGATGCAATGTTGTTCCCCTCGACGAGTACCGTCCATCCCCCCAGGTCCCATCCCCCTACCACCTTTACGTGCGAAAGCAACACGCCGGGGCGAAAGCAACACGCCGCGCGTGGACTGACGTTTTTTCCAACTTTTTATGACGGTTTCTTTTACATCTCGACAAACGCTGCAACTTTGCTGATGTGCACTTTTTCGCCATCTCTCACCGTTGTTGATGACTATTTGGTGACATTGAACTTTGTCGAATTTCCCAACTTTTTATGACGGTTTCTTTTACATCTCGACAAACGCTACAACTTTGCTGATGTGCACTTTTTTGCCATCTCTCACTGTTCCGGATTCAATTATGAATCGCGGTCTGTTCGTCACCGGCGTGATGGCAGCATCAGCCGGGCCAGAGCGTGCAGCGCCACAGGAGCGCTGCGCGCGCATGCCCGATCGCAACGCGAGGCGACGGCGCTTCTTCACGCTCGTTTCCGGGGCTTTTTCGCTCATGGCTACGGTACGAAGTACACGCGTCGCGCAGTGCTAAGGATTCTCAAGTGCTATAGTGGACTTTCTTCATCATGGATAGACTCAGTGTGGACACGTAGTGAACTCAGCAGCGCGATTCAACCAGGACAGCTCCGGATACAGCATCACCGGCGGCTCAAGCTCACCACGCATCGCACGCCGGCGTCGCGTGGACACGGCTCACGGGCATCCGCAATCACGAGGCCGGTCATCGATTAATATAATCAACCCGTGCAAGTGACAAAGAGACTGATCACCCCCATTAGACTCTAGACTGCTCCAACTGTAAGCTTTTTACATGTATTAAACGGACCACGGTATTTTACACAATCGATTCGAGTTTTCGATCACGTGATTTATAACCTCTCACGCGTACATCCGCTCCCCGATCTCTCGCCGCAAAGTCCTCTCAGCCCTGCTTCCAACCGCAGCGGTCCAGCGAGCTCTCCCAAAAGAGAGTCGCGAACATTTTTTGGTCCTTCGAGCCGGATTGCGGCGAGACTCGGACGGATTAGCTCAACACGCAACTATCACGTGATCGTCGGCGCGCACAGATACGGTCCGACGCAGCGACCAAGTACTCTCACGGCCCTTCCGCGTGATCGGCGACGCGCACGTATTCGGTCCCTCGCATTGATCACGTGATCTCACGATTTTCTTGTTCAAACTTCTCATCGGTGACGGCGCAACTCTCCTCCGGAGAATCAAAATTCTCTTCGGCCGACGAGACGTCTCATCCTTCTCGCTCTCACCATGTCGGACGATCATAAAACGGGCAAGGCGGAGCGCCCGGTGATTCAGCAACTGGAACTGCGGCCGGGAGATCGCTTATCCTCGAGGACGGCGTCTCCGGTTCGGCTCTCCACGGAACTCGCCCTGAAGGTGCAGACGCAGCTGGGTCGGATCTCTACTCTCAAGGCCATCGCAGAAATTCTCCCGGAGTCCCTTGCAGGGAGTTCTATTGAAGAGGCAAATCAGCTCTGGCTTCAAATTGAGGAGACGCACAAGGCGGTTCTCAAGGAAAACACCTACTTCAAGGTCTCATGGCCCTCTGCGCTCACTCATCACGAGCATTTCTCGGGAAACGCTCATCAGGAGGAAACGCTGTGCCACACGCACGCGCAAGCATCATCGGCGTACTCCGCCACTCACGGACAGCTTCGTCCGCTCAATCAACCTGTGGTTCGTCGGTCACGCCCTCGAAACTGAAGACACGGTGCAATCGTCGAGACCAGCTCACACGTCCGCATCCGGCTCAACTCTACTCGCCACAGCCGTGGCAGATCATCCACCACTCATCGCTCAGCGCGTCTACTCATGGACGCAGGATCCGAACTCACCTTCGTCACGGAGAATCTCCTCCGGCAGCTCAACATCCCTCATCACTACTCAAGTATTGTCGTCACTGGAATTGCAGGCAAGCAGTGTACTCGGACACGAGGAGTCGTGTCACTCACGTTACGCTCGACACATTCCAACGCAGCTGCCACAATTCAAGCTCATGTCCTCCGGACAGTTACATCAATCTTACCATCGTTCGAGGCGGAACCGGAAGAATGGCCGCACCTTAAGGACTTGGCATTAGCCGATCCTGCTTTTCTCATCCCGCGGCCAGTTGACATCCTCATCGGCGCAGACGCTTACGGGCAAATCATCAAGCCCAATATCATCAGGCATTCTCCACTCATGCCGATAGCGCAACTCTCCATTTGCGGATGGCTCGTTCTTGGATCAGACAATAGGGAAGCAACACGCACATCAACGCATCATGCTGCTACTCAATTCAACGAGGATGCTCTTATTGAGTTATTGACGAAATTTTGGAATCAAGAGGAGGTGCCTACTCACGATGTCACTCAGCTCGCTCCTAGCGAGCAGAGGTGCGAGAAGCACTTCAATACTACACACTTTCGTGATTCTCCAGAGAGGTACATCGACAGGATTCTACTCAATTCACCAGACGATCTTTTGGGTGATTCTTACAACGTCGCTCATCAATGTCTGAAGGGATTACGCAGACGATTCTCAAGGGATGTGAATTATCAACGTCTCTATCAACAATTCATGATTGATTACGAGACACTCAACCACATTACGAAGGCATCATTCATCTCCAGTCATCGCTCACATTTTTCACCTGACACATCACGGTGTTCTCAAGCCGGCCAGTATTACAACGAAGCTGCGGGTGGTGTTCAATGGCTCTAGCGCATCCACATCAGGCTACCCGGACAACGACCTCATGTACACTGGAGCAAAGTTACATCTGAACATCTCAGAGGCTCTACCATGGATACGTAGACATCGTCACATGTTCGCTACGGACATCATCAAAATGGACAGACCGATTCAGATTCACAAGGATGACTGGGAGTTACAGCGGATACTCTGGATGGACAATCAGCTCAATGAGGTGCCATATCATTCAACAACGGGCACTTACGGGACGAAGGTCGCACCATTCTCAGCCGTACGGACCTTGTTACAATTAACAGAAGACGAAGGACATAGTTTCCCACTGGCTGTGCCGGTGATCACTCACGGCAGGTATGTCACTGATATATTTGGTGGTGCAGATACAATACAACAATTGCAGGAGGTCGCACAGCAACTAAGGGGCCTCTGCATGGCGGGCGGCTTCCCACTAGCAAAATGGCATGCAACTCATCTCAACATACTCAAGACTGTCACCGACAGCGAAGACCAAGGCTTACCAATCACATTCGACGATTGCGCAACCAAGATACTCGGACTAAAATGGCTCCCTCAAGAAGATACATTTGCATTCTCAACGAGAAGCTCACGCAAGGAAGGCAGGCTCACAAAACGCCTCGTTTTATCTGAAGTGGCTCAGATATTCGATCCACTTGGCTTTGCATCACCCGTCGTGATCAAGGCCAAAATTCTCTTGCAGGAGCTGTGGCTGCACAAGCTCCAATGGGATGACCCACTGCCATCCCAGCTCTCAGCCCGGTGGCTCATCATCAGAGAAGAATTCACAAGCCTGGCCAGGCTCTCAATACCTCGGTGGCTCAATACGTGGAGCGACTCGCAAGTGGAACTTCATGGATTCTCTGATGCTTCTCAATTGGCAATGGCTGCAGTCATATACATATCCGTTCACGGCTCAAACGGCGCCACGTTCTCACTTGTGTGCTCCAAGAATAAGGTAGCACCTCTCCAGCGGCTCTCAATCCCGCGACTTGAATTCAAGAGTGATCTACTGCTCTCTCGACTCATGCAATACGTCAAAGCCACTTTAAACATGGACGTAACGGCAAACCATATGTGGACGGACTCTCGAGTGACACTTTCGTGGATCAGATCTCATGCATCACGCTGGAAGGATTTCGTCAGGAACAGGGTGGCTCAAATTCAAGAACTCACTCCAGCCGCTCACTGGAGATACATTCCTGGAACTTCTAATCCGGCTGACTGCGCATCACGAGGCCTCACAACTGCTCAGCTTCAAAACCACGCACTTTGGTGGACGGGACCACCATGGATACTCAAACCAGACTCATGGCCGTCGCAACCTGCACTCTCTGACGAGATGAGTGCAACAGAAGCTCGCCCAGGCGTTTCGCTACTGACGGTTACGCCAAGGACTGAATATCAATGGGAACTCATCTACAGGTACTCACACCTCACGAAACTATTGAGGATTACAGCTCTCTTTCAGATTCGTCTCACGGTTGAGGAAAGTCCACGACTCATGGCCTGTCAGCCACATCTCTCCGGAAACCTTGGAGAGAGCGCGGCTCTTCTGGATTCAGGCCACTCAAGCAACGTACTTCTCGCACGAGCTGAAGACATTACAGGCAGACTCACCGTTGGCAAAGGCACACGCGTTCAACAGATTGACTGCGTACATCGACGCCCAAGGAGTTATTCGCGTCGGCGGACGACTCGCTCAAGCAGCTCTCTCATTCGACGCGATACACCCTGTAACACTGCCTCGTCACTGTCAGCTGTCGTCAGTGATCATCGCTCACGCTCATCAACGGACTCTACATGGAGGCACGCAGCTCACGCTGTCACACATCCGACAACGATACTGGATTCTAGGCGGGAGGGCTCCTGTCAAGTCTCACATCCTGCGGTGTGTCACGTGTGCTCGTCAGAGGGGGATCCGTGCTCATCAATTGATGGGCCAACTACCTCTCTCTCGAGTTACGCAGGCACGACCGTTCACTCATACAGGTGTGGACTACGCAGGGCCGCTCACCGTCAAAACATGGAAAGGAAGAGGTGCCAAAACAACAAAGGGCTGGATTTGCGTTTTCGTCTGCTTCTCGACCTCAGCAGTACATCTAGAGGCGATCAGCGATTACTCAACGGAGGGATTCACTGCCGCCTGTCGACGCTTCTCATCCAGACGCGGCATTGCTCACACCTTACACTCAGACTGCGGCACCAATTTCATCGGTGCGGATGCAGCTCTCAAAAGGCTGTTTATCCAGTGCACTCAGGAACATCAGCGAGTTTCTCACCTGCTCTCGCAAGATAACACCCGATGGGAATTTAATCCCCCAGCGACACCGCACATGGGAGGAAAATGGGAGGCCGTCGTAAAATCCATCAAGTACCACCTACGGCGGACCATTGGAGAAAGCGTGCTCACCTTTGAGGAGCTCACCACATTGCTCACTCAAATTGAAGCAATTCTCAACTCGCGCCCGCTCGAACCATTGAGTGACGACGCGGATGACATCGCAGCACTCACGCCAGGCCACTTCCTCGTAGGAAGTCCGCTCACCGCAATACCAGAGCCCTCACTCACCGACCTGGCAATCTCAAGACTCTCTCGATGGCAGCTCATCCAGCAGAAGACACAACATTTCTGGACACACTGGGCAGCGCATTACCTGCAACGTCAACAAGCCATCTCAAAGTGGCACCACAGGAACAACGAGATCAAGATAGGATCATTGGTGCTCATCACCGACGAGCGGCTACCGCCATGCAAATGGCCGCTAGCCCGGATCACAGCTCTACATCCTGGGAAGGATGGTCTCGTGCGGGTGGTGACCCTGAAGACAGCCACTACCACTCTCATCCGACCAATTGTCAAGCTCGCCGTCCTGCCAATCTCATCATAGGATCAGGGATCATCAACCACGTTGCTGATGGCGGGGAGAATGTTCCGGATTCAATTATGAATCGCGGTCTGTTCGTCACCGGCGTGATGGCAGCATCAGCCGGGCCAGAGCGTGCAGCGCCACAGGAGCGCTGCGCGCGCATGCCCGATCGCAACGCGAGGCGACGGCGCTTCTTCGCGCTCGTTTCCAGGGCTTTTTTGCTCATGGCTACGGTACGAAGTACACGCGTCGCGCAGTGCTAAAGATTCTCAAGTGCTATAGTGGACTTTCTTCATCATGGATAGACTCAGTGTGGACACGTAGTGAACTCAGCAGCGCGATTCAACCAGGACAGCTCCGGATACAGCATCACCGGCGGCTCAAGCTCACCACGCATCGCACGCCGGCGTCTCGTGGACACGGCTCACGGGCATCCGCAATCACGAGGCCGGTCATCGATTAATATAATCAACCCGTGCAAGTGACAAAGAGACTGATCACCCCCATTAGACTCTAGACTGCTCCAACTGTAAGCTTTTTACATGTATTAAACGGACCACGGTATTTTACACAATCGATTCGAGTTTTCGATCACGTGATTTATAACCTCTCACGCGTACATCCGTTCCCCGATCTCTCGCCGCAAAGTCCTCTCAGCCCTGCTTCCAACCGCAGCGGTCCAGCGAGCTCTCCCAAAAGAGAGTCGCGAACACTCACCGTTGCTGATGACTATTTGTCGGAGGAGGGTAACGGGGAAAGAACCATTTTTAATCTCGGAATTAATTATGGATTCTTGCAGTAGACGTCGAGACGAGACAAACGAGGTAATGGACCGGGGGTCGGAGACCACCCCTTCGCCCGGAAAACCACCCTTAAAGTTACGAGGGCCCGTAGCTC